AGAACATTGCTGTTTAGGGACTTGTTTGTTGTCTTTATTGGATCAGATGCCCATCAATGAGCTTATTATAAAAGGTACTCACTATTTTTCTGGTCTGTAAGAAAAGCTACTATGAATCAGAAAAAACCAGAGAAACCATTCTAGGAGAAAGCATCTACACCACAGTATGAAAGAGATCCAAAGGTAATGCCACAAAGTAATAGAACATCTATCTAGGCCAATAAATGCATACGAAGAGTAAAACGCAAAAAGCCTTTGGTACAAACCCACATTCAGTTTCACTCAGTCATGATACGTATTCACAAAACTGCCTGAGAGATGCTTTAAAGTGAATTTTAGAGCACGAGTAACTACCAACTGCTCATTTACAATACCTCAGTCCTCACTTTTAACACTTCATGATGACATAGTCAAAATCCTTAAGCACTGAGATTGTTTTTGAAAACTATATACTCTTTAGTGATACTACATACAGATTACAGTTTTCCAACTACACCAAGATATTTGTTCTATTACTTTCTAATCATGAAGCTTGTTGTATGCTGGTTATTTAATGTTTAAAATAAAATTCAAAGTACTAGTGACTATTCTGTAATAATGTTCTCTGTTGTATTCCCTTATTCCCAGCACTTATTTCCCTTAAATCCAATTTAAACATTGCTTGCCTGAAAATCTCATTAGTTCGATGTAGATGTGAATCCAATAGGTAATTCATATTAACACAATATTAAGGTTATAACTTAAGCTACCAAACCCAATGAAATTCAGAAATATGACAGCCCATCTGTTACTGAAGTTCTATTTTGCTGTAGGATATTTATAATGTTTACACACTCAAGTATGAATAAATCACATTATATATAAAGTTTCCCACTTATGTCTGATTTACTTAGATTTTTTTGGTACGGATCTTGATATGGTTCTATATGGACAGACTTATGAACTGTGGTGATTTTCTGCATATCCACTGTAGAATGAAAATATAACAGTAGTTTATCTTAGAATTTTGGAAATTGCTATTAAATAATGTACCTCTCCTCCTCCTCCTCCTGGATTTTTCACGTCAACAGTATAATCTTGTCTAGTTTGCTAGTCTAACTGTAAATTATAAATCTAATAGATTTGCTACTATTTCTCTGAAGCTACTCCCAAATCTTACTATCGGGTACTCCTTAGTCTTAAATTTTCCTTTTTTTTCCTCCAAGACAAATTTGATTCTATTTGTAATTCCTTCTGCTACCTTATACATTTCCCCTTGACTATTCTTTGAATTCTTCCAATGTAGGCAGATTGTGTAGCATCCAAGGACTCCCATCATGAAAGAGAACGTTAACTTTCTGGAAGCAGTGCAAGCATTACAAAAAGACAATGATTCTTGTCTTTAAGGCACTGTGTAAACATATTTAACAATGTAGGACTATAGCGCGCTCTGAAGCATCATCTAGTATCCTATATCCCTCAGCAAGATACTCTTTATCATACCCTTCATGGGTTCTACAATGTTTAGTTTCTGTTGCCACACTCAGATATAAAATGCTTTTAAATCCCATACCAGTTTGGGCTGTATTTATGTTACTTGTATCAACAGCACTGCACATGTGGAGACTGGCACACAAGAAATTCAGAGCCTGCTACTGGTGGCAAGAGTGTGGCAGGTCACAGTTACAGAAGGAACACATTCCCCTTGTAGCTTTTGAAAGCAATGGGTCTTTCGAAAATGCCATACAAACTGGATGCAGGAATACTTCAACTCTGCCTCTTCCCATCGCAGTCTCTCCAAACAAGAAAATCACTTGCACTCCACTTGAAAAGCGACAGAGACCATACTCTGACCAAAAAAGCATTACATTCACATGGTATTGCTTGGTGTTCTTGATCCTAATTGATTAAGTGTTATCAATTTATTCGGCTCTCCCTTATGTCTGCTGCTTGTTATAGTAAAAGAGTAGGTATTTTATCAAGCTAAATGTGAAGATTCAGAATAAGAACTGAAACTTTATAAAGAAAGTGGGTTTCTTCAATTTTTTCCCAAGCACTTGCATAGTTTTGAAAAGAAAACATTTTCTCTCAACGTGTTTCAAGTAAACTTTAGCATTATTTTACTGTTGCGTTTCAAGCCTTCAAAATACTTTCCTTAAGTAACATGCGAATAACTTTATTTGCACGCTTTTAGTGTTGGCGGTTAACATTTCTATAAACTGAAGGATTATAGGCCAACGCTGTAGACAACCAGTGGAGCATATTATTACAGCTACCCTATCTGCAGTGATTACTTCAATTTTTACTGTAGAGGAGTACAACAACAGAAGGGGAGAAGGAAGCCATTTCATGTTAATTCCTGAAGCTTGCCTTCCAGGATTGCCGTTTGTATCTGGAGTTCGCTGTGGAGCCAGGAAATGGGAATAGTGATTTTGAGGATATAAAGAATCAAAACCAAATTATTTTGATAACTAGTGCAAGCATTTTCCATTGTTTCCCAGAGAAAAGGGTGAGGGAGGAGACAAAGAAGTGGGTTGAGGAAGAAAAAAAAAAAAAGAAAGGTAAAAAAGATAGAGAAGGGAAAACCTCCAAAATTCTTTCTCATTACAAACATCAAAAAGAAGCCGATATATTGACCAATAACAATCAAGATGTGCACATACATATTTTTACATTTTTCAGCTTATAAGCCTATCAGCCCTTGAGAGTATCATGAATATAAGTGGCATGGTACTTGTCCAAACCCAGCTCATCCTCCTCTTTCTCAGGTACATTGGTTAAAGACAACTGGCAAGCAGGAGGCATTCCAGTACTTTCAGGGCTTCAATTCAATCACAGTTTTTGAATGTACCTGCTTTAAATCCATAACATGGACATGCTATATTGCTATCCTTAACAATGATTACTCTCTTAATTTTTAAGGCTCTCTGACATTTTATCAATCAATATTTTGCTCTGTTTCTGAAGCATGAAACCAGTTGATAATTTTTTCTTAATCTAAAATTCAGGTGCTCTCTGGTCTTCTCAAGTAAAGGAAGCTTCACCATTTGTTGCAACAGGTGGTGCCTCTTCAGTCATTTACCATCTTATTTGCCACAAGGTACAAAAAGATTTTGCTTTCATAGCATGGCTCCTTGCTGAGGAGCAGACCCATTCTTTGCTTACTCTTCCATGCTACTACAATTAAAAAAAAAAAAAAAAAAATCTCTTCCCCAAAACCCCCCCCCCCCCTTTTTTTTTTTTTTTTTTTGTAAAAACTGGAAGGTAAAATTGTAAGATTAACAGCTTTTCCTGAGAATATTTCCATTATGAAATATCATAGTCAATTTTATGAACACCACAATCAGCAAGGGGTTATCATTCTCACAGGATGAGAGATAAAGCTTTTTATGTGCAGATGTACAAAGTGAATACAGTTTCATAAACTTATTGAGCAGATCTGGTGGTTTTCTTCTATCAAGAAACAGGCAAAATGCATCAGAATCAGTGAGGACCAATATGTTGTGGTGGGTTGACCTTGGCTGGACACCAGATGGTCACCAAGCTGCTCTATCACTCCCTTCTTCATCAGGACAGGGAGGGGAGGAAAAAAAAAAAAACAAACAAAACGGGAAAAAAAAAAAAAAAAAAAAAACCAACACAAAAAAACCCCACCTAAACAACAGCAACAACAACAACAAAAAAAAAACCCAAAACCAAAAAATCCCACACTCCACAACAAGCCCACCAAAACCTTGTGGGTCAAGATAAAGGCAGTTTACTAAAACAAAAAAATTATTCTCTACTGCCTATCAGCAGGGGATGTCTGGCTTCCCGGGGAGCCAAGTTTCAGTACGCATGGCAGTTATTCTGGAAGACAAACATCGTAAATAACAAACGCCCCCCTTCCTCCTCCTTTCTCTCAGCTTCTTATTGCTGAGTAGATGTGATACAGTATGGAATATCCCTCCCAAGATCTTGCCCACCCCAGCCTACAGCTGGGGGTGGGGGGGAAATGTTGGGGAGACAGTCTTGGTGCTGTGCCAGCACTGCTCAGTAATAGCCAAAACACCAGTGTGTTACCAACACCTTGCTCGGTACCGATGCACAGCACAGCACTATGAGGGCTGCTATGGGGAAAATGGGAAAATTAACTCCAGCTCAGCCAGACCCAATACAGATACTTAGGATATTATAGAGTACAAATGAAACTGTCAGTGCAAGATCAATATAATAGACTTAAGGGCAGTGAACTGCTAGTAAAAGTCAATACAATCTGCTCCTACAAAAGTCAGAAATATACCACAAGAAGGATGCAGAACTTTTTTTGAAAAACCGAAAGTGAAGAAAATGTGAGACAGAGAAGCTAAGGAAAAAAGGTAGATCTAAGTATGATAGAAAGCTGTTTCTCCCAATTTCAGAAGAGAGTGATGTGTAGTGCTTAGAGGGACACACATGCAATGTTTTACAAGTCAATCAAAATATTCCTGTTTAAATTTCCATCTTTGATGCAGACACCCAATGAATGGGCGAAAAAGAATAGGTACATCAATGATGCCATTTCCTTCTTTGTAACAGCCTTATACAATATTTTATGTTTAAAAGCTGAAGACAGCCCTAGACTAGATACAAGAGGCTCCATGGAAGAGCTTGAAAGAGGAAGTTATACAAATATTAGTATGTCATATTTCCTGAAATCTGTACATGGCATAGGACAGTATTAATGACAGTACTATAGTTGCTTTTGCCCCTAAGGCAAAGCAGTATCTGTATTTGTGCATTTTTGAAAAAAAAGTAAAGTACTATTTTTTAGCATCCATCAATCTCAACAAGGATAAAAATTAAATAACTTTTTTTATAAGCACTACATTTTATTATGGAATAACTTCAGTATATTATGTAAAACCACTATAAGTAGTCTGGGGAATTTCAATGGTGTAATTTCTCAAGGCAACCTTCAAAATGTCTGATATATTTAATGGTAGGAAACAGACAACAACATACTACTGCTAGCATGCTGTTCAATCTACTCATGAGCCAAATTTTAGTACCATCTTGAACTACTCCACTTATCTTAAGTAAACTGTTTCCCAGTTGGGCAAGATGGGATAAGCATTCACCCCTCAATATTTGCATTCAGATATGATAGGGTCAACTAAAACCATGGTATGCAGAAGTATCCCACTTACATGAGTTTTTACGGGAGAAAAACAAACCAGCTTACTAGTGCTGAAATGAGCCAGACCTCCAGAACAACCTGGCATTGCAAGCCTCTGCTTGCAATTACATCAGATATGAGTGCAGTGATATACACCTGGATGATCCATGAGTCTGCATAGTAGTAAAATATAGTGTCCTGTTAATGTGCTGACCTACATCTGATGGTAGGCATAGGCAGGTATATGTGAATCATCAATGCATTAGAACTACTTATCAAGTCCATCTGTCCAGAGTTATTTCAGGGAAATTTCCATATTTTACAGCTCTTCCAATCAGCGGAACAGTCACTGCTTTGCAAATATCCATGCGCACGAGACCAATGCCAAACCGATTGCCAACATATCTTTAGTACACTGGCCACCTTCCGTGAAGCCAAAGCAACAGATTCTAAAATATTATTGTCATTCTTATCTGGGTGTTCTATGATCTAAGTAATATATCAAGGTCTTTGTACAGCCGCAAAAATGGGGCTTTCTCCTTGTGATCTTTCTGAGACCACAGCTTGTTATCCCATACTACTATCGCAGTACTGTCACAATATTTTCACTTTGTGGGCCTAGTCCAGAAGCAGTGTCTATGGAAATGGCTAATCAGCCTGATCCATTCCATTTCTCCACATGGTGCCATTCTGCTGATACTATTTTGGTGAGTTTATGTTGATAGCTGCAAAATTCTGCCTCCATTGTCTCCCAGCCAATACACTAATTTTGCAATAGCCACCTTCAACTTCTGACAGTAACTCTTTTCAGAAATTATTTCGATTAATTTTCACTATCCTATTCTTCAGCAACTCCAGTAACAGCCCTTGCTATGCACTTCAAACCCTGAATAAAAGACAGGAAATGATATAGAGAAGACTGATGTATCAGTTGCTAAATTATGCTGACAATCTCAGCCATGAAAGGTTGTCAAAGGATACTGAACTGAGAAGCTTGTGCTAAAATACCCAGTGCTCCACATTTATTAGGAATGAAGACAGTCTGCTCCATAGCAACTGTTCCTTGCTTAAGAGTTGAAAACCACGGTTAGAAAATTGGCATCTAATACAGTATAATGTGTTAGGAAAGGAAGAGCCCTTGAAGATCACAAAGGAAACTAACCATTAGTGCCTGGAATGTGAAATCACTCTGACAGACTTATAACATGGCTGCTGATGAATTTGTGTCTGCATTGCTTTTATTAGTAGTGACTAGCTACGGATGCCAGTGATTAGAGCTGGCTGTGCTCACTCTGAATGGGCAAGATTTGAGTCAGACTCAATCCAACTCCCACATTAATTTGTCTGTCTGGAGAACAAGATTGATTTGCATCGGGTTCAAACCAGAGAGCAAGCTACTTTTACTAATGGAAGTGTGTAAAGAAAGGATTTTGAACTCATGTACAGCCAGGTGTCTGGAGCTAGCTAAAAAATATAAGGAGGCAAAATCTATAAAGCTAAAATACTATTATATGCTTGTCAAAAATCAAATGAACAAGCAAGAGATACAGCAGCTGGTGGACAACAATGTAAAATATAAAACATGACACTAGGCAATATTAAAAATAGAAAAACATGTATGAATCTGTATTTTCATATTGCTTGTCTATACAAAGATCAGAACAATCTTAACCAAGTCATCACAAGCCAGTTAATGTCGTGGTGACAGAGGCTCATATTCCTTTAATGAGATGACAAGTAACTCCACGACTTAAAGAAAAGCATTTCTATGATGATCAATGATCAGAATACCAAGACTAATGAGACTGACCTGGTTCTGTTTGAAAGAGAGAAAAACAGCCACCTTTCATGGGATTCCATGGTTTCTGCCTGTGTACTGTACACTGCATATGCACAAAATCCAAGTTGATAATGACTCTGGGACATTCCAAACATCATTAATTAGGAGATAATAGTATTTGTCTCAAAAGATATACAATGGGCTAACACAATCCTAAAAAATTCATTATTTTTTTTCCCCTGGAATAGATATCTGTTCTGCAGTCCAACTCTGCGCTCTCCAACATTTTTACCACAAAAAAACAGGCAAAATTGTTTATGTTTGTATTCAAAACAAGCTACAGTTAATCTAGTATACTCCTTTCATTTGCTGCAACAGGCCTCTGGTTTAGCTAGAAAAGAAACAATATTAATAACATGATCATAGATTTGCAAAGACTCACCATGCTACAGTTACTATTTGCTGAAATGCACTTCTTGTCATCGCACCACTGGCACCCGTTTGTATTGGCAGTACAGCTCGCACAGTCCGCGTATCGGTAACATCTGTCATCTGCAGCAGCTGTAATGCACATGAAAGTCAAAAAGAAACATCACACAAAGGAGAATAATACCACCTTTTTAAAACACTTGCATAGAGTATTTTTCTCTTACATCCTTCATTTGAACTCTAGCCATTCATAAAATTGCTGTAGGAAATTAATTCTATTCAGTTAATAAGATTTACTTCTTTAAAAATTCCTTTAGTAACAACTATATTTGAAGGTTTGTAAGTCTCACATCAATTAAAGGAATATTCACTGATTTGCAGCATACAAATTCTCTTAGTACAGTGCTTAAACTAAGAGCATCAGAAAGTTTCTTAAACTATTCATTCTTCACTCCTTTAACATAGAAGAAAGATGGAGGTTTCTGATAAAAATATGAGATTGCTATGCAAGAAGATAACGGTAAAAGTAGTAAATAAAAAAATCTAAGATAGATATTATGAATGCACAGATATTTTAATTCTTTATAAATTAATTCATAATAATTGGTAAGTTATAGTTCTGCCCTTTCTCTACAAAAAATATTGAAGGAAGAGTTCATGTTAGATTCTTAATATGAGCCTTCAGGACTTGGACTAAAATTTTTGTTATTTATGACAGTTTGGGACACAAATTATTACTTTTAGTTGAAGTAGGCAAAAATCTGAAAAGTCGCCATGACAAAAAATAGGACAATTCCTATCATCTCCTACACCTATTACCGTGTTTAGCTCCTGTGCGGTTTTGGCTTCTCCAGTCTCGGGATTGTGCAAGAGATTCTCTTGCCAGGGAAGCCTTGCTATCCAAGAATTCATCTTTTGAAAACCCACTAAAATTTCTGCTTATCCTTTAATATTGACCATCAGCAGATTCTCAGATGATACTGTCAACCAGAAAACAATTAAGCCAAGTGGTATAAAAGAGCATATGAAAAACTGGCTTTTGGCAGAATATTACCACCTGGAACTGGAAGGATTTGACAGCAGTGAAGCAGTGCTGACCACACAACTTCTTCGGAACTGGAATTCTATACAACTCATCTCCTGTGAGTTTAGTTGTAGTTTATTCCCACAGCAGCAGCTGTACTTTAGAAAATGCTCTAACTTTTTTATTTTCCTTCAGACAGTCTGTGCCTTGTTTTGTTTGTTTTAAACACCTGTCGATATGATCAGCTTCTTACAAGACCCACTTTCATCTCTATTACTTTTGAAATTAGTGTCTCAGAATTTTTCATTTTACAAAGAGATGAAACTTTCTAGACTCAAGATCTCTGAATGTTATGAAACTGCACAAAAGCAGTTCTTCAGAAAGCTTTACACCTGGATAACCTTTTTGTTATGTAATGCACCATTTTTCCGAGTTTGCAACTTCATATCCAGTTCAGAAACAAATAAAAGCTAACAGAAAAATAAACTGTCTTGAAGCATTGATTAATAGCAGAGTTAATACTTTTTAACAAACATTAAAAGTAGACTGGCAGTTTAATTGTATGGTAGTTTGTACATGTAGCACACAGCCCAAGTTTGACTGGCAATTTTATACTGTGCTGAAAAGAAAGATGCACAGACAAAATAGCGGGTGTGTGTAGCAGGGAAGCATACTCTGTTCATGTGAAGTATAAGAACAAGACTTTCACAAGCAATATTTCTGTGACAAGCCAAAATACTTAGAAACAGGGTACAACAGTTATTCATAACACTAAATTGCTGTTTCAAACAATATAGCTATCACAATGCCATACAGAAATTCACATGACGAACCCATTTTGCCATACTGCAGCAAAGGGCTTGTTTGCCTCAAGTTTCTTTCCAGCTGTGATTATACTATAATCTTCTATACAAATACTCCTTTTTGATAGGTAATCTACTTGAAGCAGCAACACCTTCCCTCTCTCTTACCAGTACATACAGACATGAGAGTGCCATATGCCTACAATGCCAGATATCACTTGCAGCGTCCATTTGTGCTCTGATTGCTGTTATGCTTTCTTAGAATCAGCAAAATATTAACGCTTTTAGATATATACTTTTGTGTGTGTCGTCCATCCTGTGTGTGTGTGTGTATACATATTTCCCAAAACAGAAGGTAGAGAAAGAGGAAAATTAATTCAGTTACATTTTCAAAGCTGACCGTTTTATAAACACTTCAAATACACTGAGTCATATCCAATCTAAAGTAATTTTATACTTTAGCTCCCCAATGAAGTAAATTCTTCTCTTTGAACCATCTTACGTTTTGTATCCCTCAGAGCTTTTAACTTGTGCTCTTTTGCACCTACTTCCCTACTTAAAATCCAAAAAAATCCAGAATTGAATGTTTTTTGAAATTAATCCATAAACCTCTTGCACTAGGTATTCTCAGATAGGAACAGTCTTAACAGTCCAATCAGTAGGTCCACCTGGTGGGTCTTTTCAGGGGCATTTTAGGGTGTATTCTTCCCCTCCCATCTCCTACATCGCACTGCAATTTTGACACTGTAAGACTAGAATTCACTTACCTGTTTTCTTAGGACATTTTGCTCTAAGGATGTTATTAGCATGTCCAGATTCCCAGGATTCACAATGTTTCTTGTTCCACAGACACCGTATCCCTGGGCGAGCATTTTTACACAGCTCTTCATCTCTGAATGCTTCACAGTTTGGAGGCTTGTACACAAGGATGTCATTCAAAAGAACACTTGAAAAACCTCCAAATATATACATGGACCTATTAGGAAAAAGCAAGTAAATATAACTGTTATTGTAACTGTAGATACATTTTCTTGATTTCTGTAGCTGTCTTGATATACAATAAAAAAATAACATGTAATATTATTAAAAAAAAAAAAATCTTCAGCTCTCTCTAATAAAGACTCTGTCAGTGGTTCCATTATAAAGATTGGTAAGTTTTCAATTTATTCCTCCAAGGAAGTTTAGACTAACAAAAAAAATTGCTCAGAGTGCACTGCGCTATTAGTGAGTGGCATGTACCAAATGTCTGGAAAGAAGAAAGAAGAGCTATGGAGGAAACTACTCATTTTTGGAGTCAGAAAATGAGAACAGAGTGTGAAATAATGGGCTGCAGGAAATGAGAACATTTTTCTTCAAGAAGATTTAAAAGACGGCCAGTAATAATTGGCAGATGGATATTTCCTTGTTGGTAACATTTCCAGTACAGTCACTGCTGAACATCAGAGCCAGAAGACAAGACTTGAGACTTTACCCTTCTCATGTAAAATTAAGAACATCCTCAGTTAAAAGACAACAAGAAAGAACCTGTACATCTGTTGTATCATATACTCTTAAAACAGAATTAATCATACAGTTACCAACAGTAGAAATTTTTGGACAGTATCTTGTATTACACTTTTTTGTACATTAAACCCAACTAAAAAAACCATTACGTTCAGAAGGGAAAAAAGAAAGGAGGGAGGGCATTTTCACCTTGAATCTAATTCATTGAAAGTGACAGTTCTCGAACTATCTTAGATGTCTTAACACAAATCAGAATGAAAAACTACCAGTTGCTGAATTCATTAATTCCAAGCAATTTTCCCTCAATGAAGGAATCTGTTCATTGATTAATTTCCTTTGCTCTGTGTACAGAGTTAGAACTTACTGCTGGTTTTGTTAAAATTTGGTAAACTCTTACGTGTAGTATTACTTATCACTTCCATTATTTCTGACCTATACGAAATCCATACATAGAGGATCTATAAGTTGCCCACATATACACAAATACTGAGTTTATGAGGGTGCTGAATAACATAGAAGAGGAATGATCAGTAGTACACAGTGTGGCACAGTCACCTGTAGTACTGCAGCTGTCAGTATAGGCCATTTGGCAACCAGCAATAGTAAAACTCACACAAAGAAATACTAGAAATTTCTTTAAACCTGACTACAGTTTTCTACAACTCTTCCACCAAAAAGGGGACATCTGTCCTATGATTTTATCTTCGGGGCTTGGAGTGAGGGAAACAGAGTTCAGGCACCAAATCCAGGAAACTCCAGATCCACTCTGTTTCTAGATGATGAAGCTTTACTGAGCTCCTCTACTCAGCAAATGACATGAAAGTATGCTACATTTTATAGACACTAAGCAATATGCTTCATATAGTCTAGATGGTGGCAAGCTTTTTTTCCTGCCAGTGTTTAATGATGATCATTGTATCAGTATCTTCAAAATCTTGCTTTTTCCAAGAAATTTTAGTTACATGTTTTTGGTCTTATGGCTGCAGAACAAGGAATTCTAGCACGCTGCAAAGGGAAAAAGATTTCTCCTGTTACATCTGTGAGGATTATAGTTGGTACTGAATTTCAAACTCCCGGCAGCTCACAATACAGAGGAAACACATCAGTACACTAGAAGGTTCATGTAAAATGCCACTGGACAGATTCCACAGCATGTCAAATTGATGATTAGCTGTACTGATTACCTAAGACAAATAAAGTCCCTGATGAGCACAACTTTTCATGTTAACAAATTACATCAGCTGTATATCAGTGAACCATACTTCGCATAGGTATAATTTCTGCCACAGGTTTTATCCTTCAGAAAAACAGACAGGAAAATTTAAAATACACTACATTTACCCATTACTGACAACAGCAGTGTGACCAAATCTGTTGACATCTCGATGCAGATTTGGTTTCGGTAAAATCTTCCATTCATCACAAGCTGAAAGACAAAACAAAAGCATATGAAATCATATGCTTCTATCATATTATAAAATAATTCCAAAAGTTTTTGGCAAAACTTATCCAAAATGGATTTTATTAGACACTTTTCTGTATATGAAGTATCAGCTAACTTTATTGCCCATTTACCCTTCTTTCCCAGAGGGAACAGTGCAGGTAATCCCTGCTCTCTCCATTGTAAACCCAGACCATCTATACCTCCTGACTTTCAAATGTTCTTAACATGTTTTCAGTACCTACTGGTCTCAGGAACTCTGAAACAAATTTTTTAACATATTTAAAACCATTCTTAATATTAGTTTCTGGCATTTGTTTAGTTTTTTTTTTTTAAATTGTTTTGCAAAATCAGCAGGATTAGACAGAGGTTTTTTTCTGTTGTCACTAGGTGAAAGCTAAGCTGGTTTTTTCTATTCCTAATAACCTGCTTTATTCTGCTGTTTAAATATATTATTTGTTTGGAATTCATAGGGTCCTTCTAAAGTCTTTATTTACAGTGATATACGTTTATCAATGTATATGACAGATCAGTGATATACACACTATCAGTCTTTAAACACAACCCATAATGCCATTTCATAATTTTTGGTCCTTCTTTTTATTTCTTTTTAACTAGGCTTTAAATGTTTAGGTAGATCCCCCTTTTAAAGGATTTTCTGATGGATTTTCTGGAGACAGGATTAATACACATAAAGATTCCACACTTCCAGAACCTGCAGGATTTGTGCACACCGTAGTCACTAGTTCTGAGTAAGTCTGATAGCTATATTTGCATTCCTCAAGACTAAATCAAAAGTACTCCTTTTAGATGCATTTACTGAGTAGGTGCTCCAAGAAACTGTCAGCAACACTTATCTATCATGGCATTTATCAAGGCCAGAGGACGTTCACAGAACCGTTATTATACAGTTCTCTGTCTTCACAGCCCATTTCAACGGGCACAATGGTGACCACTGCCATCAAGTGATCAGCAATATTGCTCTAACGTTTCTCGCCCTCAATTCAGCCAAATTATTTCAATTTGTGTTTATTTCATTGAGCAACAGTGACAGTAAACTTCTTTCTTTTTATAAGTGCTTTAAGATAATCTACTCCTCCAGCTGTGCAGCCCATCTCATTATCATCTTAATTTTGGTCTGTTGATTTAAGTACACTACTAATTACTTTCACCAAGTATTTGAGATTAATTTTGTATCAGTATCTTCACTTCAAATTAACTATTCAAGTATATTTCTTTTAGAACTGCTGCAGGAGCATTTACAAATGTGGTTTTGGTGTGGTTTCATTTCTCTGTCCCGACTGGGATTTTAGCTCTTTGGAGCAATTAGTCCTTTCTTCATTATTTCCTACGTGAACTTTACTGACTTCAAATATTCAAATTGCACCGTAATGGAAATAGGGAACACACAGAGATTGAAACTTCAATCTTTAAAAAAGAGCAAAGAAAGTACTTTTCTACAGAGCAGGCAAAGCATTTATGGAATTTGTCGTCCTAACAAGTTTTGGAGACAGGTAGGGTAAACTTTCAGGAAAACCTTCACATCAGACAGAGCATTACAGTTTTCTCATTTGAAAAAAAAAAAAAAATCTGCTATACACACAAAGATAAGGATTAAATCAAAGTTGAAAAGGAGAGAAAAGCTGCACAGTCAGAGTTAGTACCACAAAGAAGCAGAAGTGTTCTATAAAGATCAACAGTCAGAAAAAGTCACTGGCATATAGCAGGGCTGTGGGGAGCACATCTGAAACTTAACTGTTCCCAGGGTCTTAAAGCAATTACTACGCAGGTTGATTTTTACCTAATATTCCTGGAATCTTACAGGTAAATGAATTCAATTTAGTCATATCTAAATAAGGTATACTTAACTTAATTTTAAAGTTTGCAATAATTTATGTAAGTTACAGATATGATTAAAATCTGTAACCATCAGACCACATATTTCAACAAAGATTGCTTAAGGTTAAAGCAAAAAAACCACCCCACTCAAAAAAACCAAAAAAAAAAACACTCAAAAAACCCCAAAAAAACCCCACTCAAAAAAACCCCAAAAAACACCTATTGTCCTTCCCTCCTCAGTTTAAAACAAAAATGGTTATTAGGAAATCCACGAGGGACAAATGGTCCTCCAGGCTGATGTCATACAGAGCCTAAGTCACTAACTGCTGGCTATACTGGTCCTGTTCTCGTTCCCACTGTCAGAACAGAATAGCTGTTCATCTCTGGCTCTTCTAATGCAGAAAATGATTCACAGCAGCACTTTGTCCGGTTAGCATCCTGTTAGCTTACCATGCTGAAACAGCTCGGTGCAAGGTCATGCAAGGGTGGACCCGGCACATGAGAGGGGGTAGGACAGCACGGCTACAGGAAAAACTGCAGTAGTAAGCCACTAGATCGACTTGGGCTTCCACGAAATCACAGCCTGAGCCCGTAAAGAGAGTCAGAGTGAGACTGTGGCTGTGACAGATAAATCGATTACATCTTCTTATAAACTGGAAACAGAAACTGGAAGGGCATTATTACCCGAGTAACATAGATGGTCCAAACAGCAATAATTTCAACATTAGATGGTGAACTTAGAATGAATTTAATAGTTTGGAGAAAAAGAAAGTATAGTAAGTTTAATTCACTTATTGGACCAACACATGCCTAAAATCTTGCCTCTTTCTAACTTGTACCTTCTCTCACCGTCATTAACATTATAGTATCATAAAATTATGGTATTATTAATAAACTTCATCTTGCACAATTGCTCTTTTTTTATTTTCTCGACTTAAATAGAATAGTGAAAGTACATACAAGTCAGAGATTTTGTTCTTGAAAGTTTCAACAGAGAGATCACAGTACTAGGGTACCAATTAACTACTTACGATCACAAGCTTCAGATGAAGGTAGGTGTAGTATTAAACATAAAAGTTGTGTATTCCCCATATAACAGCATAACATTGGCATTTGATGCCTCCATAGTGTTTAAATTATGTAAGAAATTCAGACTAATAGCAATATTTATCAACAATAATTAATTCAATTACTATGTCAAGAAAATATTTCCTTTTAAAAGCTATAAAAAGAAAACATCTTAATGCTACAAGCAACCAGCAAAATCTTGCTGTTATACTGTAAAATCAAGTTCTTGCTGCTGTAAATCATTGCACATTAACAGAAACAGCATGTTTGGGCTCATATGCCTTTGATGGTAAAGGAAATGATTTTTAAAAAACATACTAAATTTTCATCTGATCTCGGAAAGTGTATTTTGTATTTTTACAAACATACATACAAATATATAGTGTTTCCTGTACTTAGAAATTTATTTAAGAAAAAGTGGGATTTAATGCTGAAGGAAAACCATAAAACCATAATAAAGGCCGGTTTTGAGATAAGAAACCCTTGAGGGTTGGAGATATAATAATTCCTTTCTTGCTGATGGTATTTGTCAAACTGGCAGGTCTTTTCAATAGAGTACAAGCAAAAAAAGGGGGAGGGAAGCACGTTACAAATAGCCTTCCCTCTTATCTCCTCCTAGCCTTATTAATGACTACCGAACACTGAATGGAGCACTGTGCAAGAATAATACTTTTGCTCAGAATTCCTGATCTGAGTTTCTCTGCACAGATTGCTTAATACAAAATACAGATAGTTAACCAACTAATTTTTTGTGGGTTTTGGTAAATAATCAAGCAGAATTCATCCCTGCCCATCATCTTCAAAGGTCTTTTGAACATTTCAAAGTACCCAAATTTCCAGACTTACTGTACAGTTACAAGAAGTGACAAACAGCAAACGCCATATGAGTTTCAACATTCGTATCACTATTTCAGCCTTCTGTGCATTTATTTGTCGTATTAAGGCTAATAAGGATAATAAGCTCTATGGAGTAAAGAATAAAATACTTTCTTCTGTAAAATGTCACGCGCTCTTAAGGTATTATACAAATAATAAGTGGAAGACATGGTATTGGTTGTATTTACAGTTGTCTCTGTATGCATCTGGGTATAATATATAGCACATGGAAGCATATACTGCTTTTAGCAGAAACAGTTACTAAGCAGATGAATAAGTGACACTATTCATTCCAAACTGATTAACAGAATTTTTAATCACTGAAAAGTACAAGGAGAAATGCAGGGTCTTTTCTTCCCATTAGTAAAGGCTTCAGCTTCAAGAACTAGTCCTACCACATTATATCATTATTAAAAAAAGATTCACACTCCTCCCTAGTGTAGACTAAATGTTTACCAGAAGTGACTCTGGTCACTCTGGCTTAATTTTCCAACCATATAATTATTTACATGATGAAACACACCACAGAAATGCACCAGATTTGAGGTGATCCAGCTGATGCTGGCAGAGAAAAAAACCCAGTTGAACTTTGCAGGGGGTAGAGCACTCCAGGCTCCACTCTGCAACAGGCTAGGCCTCCACACCCTATACTTTGGTCCAGCCACCTATATCCTTTTTATCTACATCCTACTGGTAATGTTGCATGACTGGTATCAGAGAAGATGACCAAGGCACCTAATAGAAAAGTTCTCAATGTTGCAACAGTAAGGACAATTTCACAGAGCTTGAACTTAGACAGATCGTAGGCTGTTTACGAGGGACATAAAGACACAGAAAAGGAGTCCCTGAGAATTCACTGTGGTACAATTAAGGCTCCATTTCTCAGATCACTAAAAATACAACCAGTTACATCAATACAAAAGTACTATAATAGCATAAACAGTAGGGCAAGAGGAATCTGCTGTACCAGTAAAATATATTCACACATCACTAGAATGTATCCCGTGAATGTATCCATGATTCTATAGAAAAATAAGACCACATTTCTAATCAAAATAGTTAAATATTTTAAAGCAAATCTATATTGTAGTATTTTGCTGATGTGACTAAGGTCAGATTTACCAAAATGTGGCTGAAGGAAAAATAGGGGAAATAGAGCATCCTAGCTCTATCCTGTTAGTCCTGCAAGTCTTTTTTATGAG